AAAATCAATCAAACCTTTTTGAAGAAACTGCCAAAAAGAATTTTGGCAAAGACAAACAAAATTAAGATTCGATAGTGAGAATTTCCAATAAGAGTGTGAGATGATGTCCTTCAAAAACTTGAGAAATTTTTTGAATTTTTCAATAGATTTGTTTGTCACAACGCAGCCAGCATTTGCAAATCAGTTATCTTTCACTAAATTGAGGGTGAAGTTTAGACAGTATTAAAAGTACTGACTGAATAATCTCACCATGGAACCATCGAAGGAAAATGTGACAGCCACAAAAGTTCCATACTTTGATGTAGTTGGAGCCACTAGCTCGAAGTAGATAAAGGAGTCATTGCCGACGCTAGAATATATATTTTACATAATATTTACATAATAATCTTATGCATAATAATCTTAGGTAATCTACTCAGAAAAATCGGTGCGCTTACAGTTTTTGGTTCCATCAAATTCGAAGATATGAGCAGATAGCTTACTGGTAAGAAACTGCAACTCCACTAGGTGTCTTGTCAGAGTTGGGAGCGAGGAAACATCCTTTTAATATTCCGCATGAATCCGTGTCAAAGCTAGGAACTACCTAAAAGTTCAATCTGAATGGTATATGTATAGAATGTTTCTACTCCAATGAACTGACGTTTGAAAGGTTCATAGGTTTTGCAGAGGTGACATCGTGTACATGATGAAGAAGTCCTACAAAATACAGATTATTGTAAGAAATAGCATTGGCTTGAAGTAGCAGCCGTTAAAACTTTATAAAAAAATAAATGAATGCAGTCACATTGTATTTGAACCTATTCATAGTCAGTAGGGACCTTAGTCGTAAAGTATCCTTAATACTGAGTTTGAAACCTGGACGAGCAAAAAACCACCACCCCTAGCAAAAACTTAGAGGCAAATTTGAGAAATACAAGCAAGTTGTTAACAAAGGTAGCTGTACTAGCCATTAAAAAGTATAGTATACGAAGAGTATACGAATTTGTCGTCTGTGGATTTGAGTTTTTCAG